TCCTTCCTTCCTTCCTTCCTTCCTTCCTTCCTTCCTTCCTTCCTTTTTTCCCCCCTAACTCCCCTGCCTTAGTCTCCTGGAATTATACTACCTGGAATAATAGGCCTTCATCACCAGGTCTACCTAGCAATGCTCACTTTTCAGCTTCCTCGAGGCCACCAGGTACTGAGACAGACTTTCATTGCCCTGACTCCTGGCCCAGCACTTTCCTTCCTCAGTATGGAGCATACTGGCTAGCCTCTGAGCTGAGAGGGGTTCAGTTGCCTGGTCCTAGTGCAAGAGACAGGTGTTCTAGATAGAGTGGACAAGTCCTCCTTGTGGGACAGGCATAGTCAGTCTCTCTGTGACTACCCCCAAATGTCAAAAATTGACATGTAGATAGGTTGTCGTGAAACAAACTCATACTTACCCCATACAGTTCTGTGCGGATCCGAACAAAACACCTCCTATACCATGTTCCTGTGTCGCTCTCAATCTCAATCAGCTCATCAATTTGCTTGGGAGTTTTGATTTTATTTACCTGTGGACAGCAACAGAGTGCAAAGGGTTGAGTTCTCTTCCCTGAAGTTGCTGTATTTAGGCTATTTATTTTAAGTGAGCAAAACACAACTCGGAACAGAAAGTGGTACTTGGTAAGAACTCTGCCTACACACGAGAACACTGGTAGAGATCTACAGACCTAAAGGGCATCTGAGGGAACTGAATATGACTTAGTGATGGGGAAGGCCAGAGAGAAATGGGGAGGGGGAGCAAGTGGAGATGGGTCAACCAGAGACAAAATGCCCCCCTTTGCATCATCCCCATAAAGAGCCATGCCAGCAGATGAAACACCAGAGACAGGAGGTTCTGCATGTAGAGTTACTTTGCCTGGAGATTATTTGGGGGGGCACTATTTATTTGATGAATTTGGCTTTTAACTATAGTCGTTAATACTTGCTCATGCACCATTTATCTATAGAGCATCACTATGACCTGTTTTTCCTTCACCCATAGGCTAACCCAGTGGTTGACCAGCAGACACTCACAGATGGCCGGGAGATGTTTCCATGGTGAGCATCAACCCTGACTCTTCAGGTATGCAAGAGAAAGAAAAGGTGAAGATTCAGAGTGACAATGTATGTCTGTGACTTAAGGTGGCCTCTTGAGCTAAAGGAAAGAGCCACAACACAGGTGAGCAAGGCTTTCAATACAGGGAAAGAATGATGGCGTGGGAGGGGTGGTGGAGGTAGAGAAGGAGGGAGGGAGAGAGAGAATCCCTGGTTTTGGATAAAGAGGACACAATAGTATGTATGCTATTTTTTCTAGGGGCTGAGTGGGTTTTTCTTTTTTCCCTTTTCATTTTTTTATTTTTTATTTTCAGCCTACCCATATCCTAAATGGCAATTTAATTGAAGATACTGTTTGGAGGCTGGGTATCTTGGTGTCTTTCAAATTGTGCTAGGCAGGCAGTCATTCATTTTGACTATACAAAAGACACTGTCTCTAGTTAGCAAAAACCACTTCTGAGTTAACTATGGGCTTTCAAATAAAATATATGGGGAAGTTGGTTTTCTTTTGGAGACAGTATCTTACTATGTTGTCCAGGCAAATCTTAAACTTGAGATGCTGCTGTCTGAGGCTTTTAAGTGCTGGGTATACAACAGCGTTTCAAACAATGTCCACTTTAGAGTTTTTAGTTCTTTTTAAAAAATCATTGGCAACTTAGCTTTTGAGAGTTTCCACTTGTCCAGTCATTAATATCTGTTTTTTTCATAATTATTTGAAATATATTTTATTTGTTGCATGATAGCCAATATCCCATACTTTAAATAAGATGGTTTGCAGGTTTAAGTTCGGGCTGTGCTGGTAGTACTTGCTGGTGACATTTAGGATAAGGAAGAGGTTGAGGGCTTTCAGAATGGGAAATTCTGATTTAGAAGGTAGGTTTTGAAGGACCGCTGGACATAGAGGATGTCCACAGAGCCCTTCGATTCAAGTATCTGGATCTTGGAAGACCTGTGTAGCAGGAGTCGGAGATGCAGGGAGCAGCTGAGTTCAGCCAAAGAGAGAAGTCAGAGTTTAAAGAGATGCCAGCTGAGGCCTGGAGGATGGCTCATAGGTCAGAGAGCTGAGCTTGCTGATCAACACATGAGGGCCTGAGTTCAAATCCCCAGCACGCCTAAGTTGGGCCGTGCCTGTGTTGTGGTGGCTGAATAATAGGGGAATTTCCTGGCTTGTTTTCTCAAGGGAATAAAGCCAGGAAGCAGAGTAGTAGAACAGAATGCCCAGTGGCCTCTGTGCACCCTTAGGCAGGCACACACAATGCGCATGCACCATACAATCACACATACAGATACACACACGCCACAAGTCACCTGAACACAAAGCCATGGAAAACAGCACCTACAGTAAAGACATGGTGAGAAGAGATTCAAGCCCCAGGACTGAAAAAAAAAAAGATCATCTTCTAAAGTTCATATTACTCTATATTGATTTAAAACAACGTCATTGAACGTTCAAAGAACGTCATTGCACGTTCAAAGAACGTCATTGCATTGTCTGGCCCCTTACAGAAACCATGCCTGAAACTCAAGGATTCTCCGAGAAGCAGACTCACCGTGAAGACCTTCTCTGGCTGACCCCGGGCTCTCATGTTGGTATCGTGAATGAGCTTCAGAATCATCCAGGCTTCATCATGTTTTCCAACCTAAGAAACACACAGGCAGTCAGGGCTAGGAGCCAGGCATTAGGACTCCTTGCCTTTCAGTCACCAACCACCCTTGAGTTTTCAGAGCACATGGAAGGCCACTATGCAAATGTGTTTAACTCTTCTCCACTGAAGCACGCAGGCCAAGGATACCACTATAGAGCAGCTGTTCAAAGAATGTGCCTTCAGCTAGAAACAGCACCTTTTACAATAACGCTTCCTTTATTAAACAGTGAGCAATAGCCCCCTCATCGAGTGAAAGCTGCTCGCTGAGGGAAGTGCATGCGTGGTTTTGGCTGTGAGCCCTCTTTGCTTAAAGCATGTCTCCATGAAATCAAACCCTGCAAAACCCCGTGGCAGGAAGGGAGAATGCACCTCTCGACGAGGCAGACATACTTCCCTCGAAACGGCAAAGAAGTCTTGCCAGTGTGCAGGGATCACTTGTGATTCTGTGTCAACAGGCATTACCTCCAGCAAGAAGCGAGGGCTTTCCGGCATGAAGGTGAGGGCCACCACAGAGGAGACGCAGGGGAGTGCGCAGACGATGACGAAGACCCGCCAGCTGTGGAACTGGTAGGCTGAGCCCATGCTGAAGCTCCATCCTGGAAAGGGACAGAGGAGTCAGAGAGAGAACCCCTGTACACTGCAGCTGGGCAAGCACCGTGGGGGGCCCTCGGGGATTCGTCGGTCAAGTTCTACTGTCCACAGAGGGGTGAACTGATCTACGAATCAGTTACAGTGGTGGGTTCAATTTAAGACTGCCCTCCCCCAAGACAGTGCTTTGGATGAATGTGCCCAAAATCAAAAGAATCAAGATCTAAGGTGGGGGTACATGTAGGGTTACTATAATTAAACCTCAACGGCCAATGTGGGAGAACGTGTTTTTCAACAGGCTATCACGCTGGGTGTCTTCTCTTTACTCTTCCAGACCATAATTCATCCTTTCCCATCTGTCTATCAGGAAATGACCTGCTGTGGACTTCATCATCCAATTCCCAACCAGGGTCGGGGGTGGAATTCACATGAGCTTCTCTGCGTAGTCCAGGCTGGCCTTGAACTCATAATCTTTGTGTCTCGGCCTCCTGACCACTGTGATTATATGTGTTTGTTACCACACCGGATTCCCAACGAGGTCTGAGTGGGGCATCTTTTCCTTGTTCTCCTTCCCCTCCCCTGGCCAGGCAGAAGAGTGGCCTACTTTGGTGTCCTCAGCTGGTCACAGCCAGCCCTCCCACTGCTGGCCTTTGGGCTTGGGGACTTCAGGACTCTAGCATGTCCTGCTAGACTCTTTCAGCCTCTATAGCTCTGCCAACAGTCCTTTCAGGATAACACTTTTAATGGTCATTTGGGGGAAAAGCTGACTTTACAGTGCCCTTATCAGAAACAAGGACTTGTATCTTTACTCACAGACATCATAGAGAATAGCAAGGTGAATCTCAACTTTAAAGCAGCCAGTTTAAATGTTGGGATTATAAAGATGGAAGTCCTAATACATTATAATAAGACTCATGATGGGCTAGATAGGATAAATAAAAATCCCTTCAGGAACTGGTGTTTGCATGAATACTGAAAGTAGATCTCCAACAGGGTTCCAAATAAGACAGAACAAAGTGCATCAAATGTAATGGAGGCCAGAGCAGGGCTTACAGAGGGACAGAGGAACTGTGGGAGACAGAACACCAATCTCCAGTATAGCTTGGAGAGTATAAGGCTTCTGTGAACAAAAGTGAGGTAGGCTTTGTCCCCTCCCCAGGAGAGCTGTATGTTTGCCTTTTGTGGGAATCCTGGGAGACACTGGAAGTGACATAATCCCCAAAGCTACAAGCTAAAGTCACAAAATCTTTTCTGCTAGGATTCAAGATGGGATTGAATCGTGAATTGTACACTCGCACTTATGCAGATGACAACTGGTCCACTGTGCTGTTGACAAGGGCCATCAACACCAGTGGCACGCAACATTAGTTTTGCTCCAAGAATTTAAGATGGGAGCCTATGTGGGTTGCTGAGTTAATTATACCATTAGCTTTCAGGAAGCACGGTTACTTTCAACGTCTCATATAACCTATATTCAAAAGTCTCACATATCCAAAATGCAGAAGAAACTCTAGGACAGAACAAAGGGACCATAATGTGCACATTTCACGTGATCTCAGAGCTTCATATAAAGACTCTCTTTAAAGATCTCTAAACCTTATTATTCTCAACACTGGGAAAAAATTCTTCGGTGACCGAGTTAAATTTCAGGTATAACACTTTCCACAGAATAGAGGGAGGAAGACCAAAGACAAGAGATGGAGGGCTCTGGTGTCACAGTTCAAAATGAGAGCTCACAAGGTGACCCTTTCAATGGAAAACAGGTCAAAGGGACTTAACTATGTCACTATAGTGGGTGGAGCAGAGCACTTCTGTGGTAGCCAGAAAAACGACCTCACCCCCCCTCCCCCATCAGAGCTTCTCGCGCTGACCTCCAGAACCCGAGAATGCAGATGTTACAGGCAAAGGGAGTCATGAGTGTTCCTAAGTCAAGGATCTTGAGAAAAAAAAGCTGTCCAGTACGGTAGGGCGGGACCAAAGGTAAACGTAAGCACCCTTAGAAAGACAGACAGACAGGAGGGGAGACAGAGCGTTCAAGTTTGATTCTATTACTGTGATAAACATCATGACCAACAGCAACTCAGGAAAGAAAGGGTTTATTTATTTCCAGAGCTCACTCTATCAGGAAGGGAACTCAAGTAGGAACCTGGAGGCAGGAACTGAAGCAGAGGCCATGAAGGACCACCGCTTATTGGCTTGCTCTCCAGGGCTGGCTTAGCCTGCCATCTTACACAACCCAGGACTACCTGCCCAGGAGTGGCATTACCCATCATGAACTGCACCATCTCAAATGAATCATTAGTAAAGAAAATGCCCTACAGTCTCCCTTGCAGTCCAGTCTGAGGGAGGCATTTCTTAGTTGAGGCTTCCTCTTCTCAGATGACTCTAACTTGTGTCAAGTTGACAAATACAGAACAAAACAAACAACAAAAACACAGAGTGAGACAAAGAGAGGAAAAGAAACAAGGGAAGCAGAGACCAGAGGGCTGAGAGATTGGAAGGTGCTGCATCCTGGTTTCAAATACGTAGGATGGGGCCACCAGCCAAGGCCTATGGGAGACCATGAGGCAGGCCTGGCTGCAGCAAGACACAACCTTCGGTGAGGCCCCACCTCCTAAAAGTCCTGTAATCTCCTGTGTTTTTGTGCTAATGCAATCATACTATGGATTAGCTGTTTGTTTTTTGAGGTAGTGTCTTGATGTACAGCATAGGCTGGCCTTGAATTCACAATCCTGCTTCGGTCTCCCACGGGCTGTGATTACAGGCACACATGACCACACTAGGCTGTATGTAACTTTGAGAATGTGGCTTTTATACTTCATATGATTCCCTGGAGATGCATACAAATTGTCACATATGTTAGTGGGTTATAGAATGTTGGATGGTTCCCAATTTAGGGTACTTATTAATAAAGCTGCTACAAACATTTTTTGTGCCTGTTAAAGTTTTGGTTTTTGAATATTTAAGGTTAGACACTTGAATCATATGTTGTTTCTGTTTGAATTTATTTGTAATTTTTTATTATATTTTATATTTGTTTATTGATTGTGTGTGTGCCTGTGAGCACTCGCTTCTACTCTCCTTCTCCCTCTAACTCGGGGGCTCTGGGAACTGAGCTCAGGGCGTTAGGCTCAGAGGTAAGCGGCTTTATTGCTCAGTCACCTCATTACCCCCAAGTATCTCGTTAATTTTACAGGAACACATTGGCTTTCTCTCCGCAGTGGCTGCACTGTCTGCATTGCCATGCATGGTGTGCTGCAGCCCTGGCTGATGCAAACCTTCCCACCACTGTTTGCCTGTTAAAGACACCTTTATTTTTCTGTTAGATACCTAATGAAGTGTCATCATGATTTGAATTGATTTTTCTAAGATCTAGCGATCTCTTTGTTTCCTTTTCACACGTAGACATGGTTCCTACGTGTGCTAGTCACCACATATGGCACGGAGAGCCAGTCACCTCATGTGGCGTGGAGATTATGAGCCTGAGCTCTTGCTCCAGGGAAGGTAGAGTCCTAAGGAAGAGGCAGATTTGGTAGGAAACACGATGACACCTGACTCCTGCTGGACCAGATTAAGAAGAAAGCAGAGAACGCAGACCGGATGGATGGAGTTGTCTCTTCTCATGAGGAATTTTTTCACAAGAGCTCTGGCCAAATTTCTGCACAAAGCAAATTTGGGAGTTTCTAATGTCAAAGTGAGAGAGAATTAAAGCCTGTGCTTAGGAAGTAGGCAAGGCCATCCAAGACTGATTGCCCTTTACCTATTATTTTATAACTGATTGACTTAGGAGGGCATGTTCTGCAGCAGTAGGAGGCAAGGGAAATGGCCATCCCTCCTCCCATGACTTGCCTGTTTGAGTCAAAGATTCAGGCCCTGGGGCCTGAGAGGAAGGTAGGCACCAGAGAGGCCTTGAGAAATGACCTTGCAGCTGCCTTGCAGACTAGAACACTACTCTGTACTTTAAAGACAAAAGGAAAACGAAGGATCGGACCCCTGAGCACCATCGCTGCCCAGCTTTGAGCCCTCAGCTCTCCTGAGTAACATTTCAAGGAAGCTTAAATCTGAATTCCAGCTCTCTACAGAACCCTACACCGTGATCTCAAAGGAGGGCGAAGACGAGGGCAGTGGAGTCACACTCCACTCCGCTGGGAGAGCGGCTCATGTATTCGAGCATGCCTGCACTTAGTAAAATTGATTCTTTCAAATGAATCCCTATGTTGGCACCATGCTCTCTATTTTGTGTGTCTTAAAAAATGATTTTGCAAAGTTGATGTTTCTAATCGTCCTTTGGAGTTTGCTAAAGTACCCATTAAGATGTCACCCTGTGGGATTTATCTACAGATAATGTAAATTCCATGCAAGGGAAGACCTCAATTAAGGTGTTATGGAAGGCTGTTATAGCCTGGCTTTAATCAGTGTGGCACTAATAAAAGCGAGATGCCTCCTGCATAATAATCCAGGCCCTTGCCAGCTTCTGCCTGCTGCTGCTGCAGGGCCCTGTGGCTGCCTCCTCAGCTGCCTGTTCAAGGAATACAGGCAAAGCATGCGACACACACACAGGACCCTGGATCCTACATTCTTTTCTAGGCTTTATCCTGGAAACTCTGGTGTCTTGGTACCTACTTCACTGACCTGTTTTCTGATCAAAAGTTATGTGATATTATCAACAAATATATCTTTCTCCAGAAGGGAGATTTCAGGTTCAAGACTCAGATCCAATGTACTAAAAAGGAAAACCTTCAGTATTGTACAGACAATCAAGTAAATCATCTATGTGTTTTCATCTTGGTATTCTCTCAAGGCACGGAGCAGCTAAAAGTCTCTATTAAAGCGGCACCAAGTTAATTTTCTCCAGTGAGAAAAAAAATGGGTGTGTCTGCATGGAACAATGATCAGGTGAGTTTCTGATATTATTGCTACAGAAATAAAAAATTCGTACCCTTGACATGTCACTGACTTAAAATAGAAAAACTATATAATCAGCATGAAATATGAATGTCTGACTAGC